ATAAATGTTTACTATATAGGGTGTGGGATGCTAAAGATGTTAGTGAAGATAGTTCTGTAGATGACAGTATCCCTCCTCCTATACCGAAGCCTGAAGTTGTTCTTGATCCAGATCTTGATACTGGAGATCTAGAGGAACCTGCAGATGAGAGTGAAGTAGTCGAAGGAGAAGATATTAATGGAGTGGAAGATATAGAAGGAGGAGAAGAAGGAGAAGGAGGAGAGGATGGAGAAGGGGGAGAAGAAGGAGAGGAAAATGGAGAAGAAATAGGAGAGGAGGGTGGTGAAGAAGGTGGTGAAGAAGATGGTGAAGAAGGAGGTGAAGAGGAAGCAAATGAAGAAGGAGAGAATGAAGATACAAAGGACGGGGATGAAGAGACTGAAGCTGAACGGGATGGAGTTGCTCAAGGATAATTCATTCTCTTCCTGCTCTATCCATAGTTCTTCTCCTAACCTTGTTTGAAAACTAAATCTGATTTAAAAGATAAAATTATAGTAATTGTTACAGACGTGATTAGAACAAAACTATTCGTTGCTTTGACAAAAGATTAATCGACTAAAATTATTCTTGGCTTCTCTATTCAAAAGTTTTTTTTAATAAAAACAAACAATTTTTCAACCAGTGTACTAATATATGTACGGTACAGTGACTGTACAGAGGCGAGTTTTACTGAACGTAAACCTTTCATTGTACAACAGAAAAGAACATCTACAGTTATACTAGAGTGCTTGGGGTACCATTACATTACATTATCTTAAATATTTATTTATCTTAATTCATGTTTTATCATGTTCCCTTACTGCATGCTTATAGTTTGAAACTAAATATTTGAATATCTGTTTGACAATTATTTCACTTGACATAAATTTGAGACTAGTAAAACATCCATTGTTAATAATAAAACTGTATTTTTTTTAAATGTAAATATCTAAATTTTTTGAAAAGAAAATATGTTTATTTGTTCCAGGTTAAACCAACGTGCCTTAATCGTTTATAAAAAGCAAAAAAAAAATTTGTTTTTTATAAACTTGTAAAAATGTTTAGCTTTAAGGGTTTAATATTCTAAAATGTAATCACAGTCATTTTTTTATCTTGTAAAATTATATCGTTAAAATAAATAATTCTAATTTTTCAAACTTTTGTCCTTTTCCCCCTTTCTTCTAGGAATACATTCTAGGAATTGATTTAAGTTAACGTTTAGGTTTTATTTACTTTGTTTATTAATGTTAAATATCTATCAATCTTTTTTCATGTGAATTGTTAGTTGCTAGTTGCTACTGGGATAATGACTTGTTTTATTACTTCTACAATATGTCTCCCTCCCTCCCTTTGAGTTTTCCAGAATTCTTAGTATGAAATATCTAAAGTCTATGACATTGGGTTGCAAAGATATAGGGATTAGAAAATCAGAGTTTGTGGCAAAGACTCAATTTATTTTAATGGCACATATTGAGGACATGTCAAAAGGTAAAGAAAAATGTGTAAAAATGTAACATTGTATCAAAAGACAAAAGCGATATTTATAACTTTTCCGGAAACCAAAACTTCCTGATACTGAAGATATCCGTGTATTCTTCTTATACGTTTCTGTTTCATTCATTAACCTTCTCTTGTATATATACCTGGAAAAATGGAAAAGTTAGATCTAAGTTGAAAAGATTGGATTGTAGTAAAAGAAAGTTCGTGGAAGAGGGGGGGGGGAAGGGGGGGGGGGGCATGAGAATATGGTCGGAAATAACAAAAAAAGTTTGTAAAATGGAGGGATATAAACATCATGAAGTTGTATCAGAGGGCGGACCAAGATAATATATGGAACAAAAGGGATTTAGAGTATAGGATGGGAGTGAAAGTATATGTGTATGTCTCCTCTATAGTAAAAAAACTATAAAAGAGTAATATTATAAAATTATGAAAATTTGCTGTGTACCATACAAAACATCAAATTCAGGGAAACTCGAATTTTCATTGTAACATTAAGCTCATAAGCTAAAATTACTTATGGTGTTGACAAATTAGAAAATATTCTACACAACATAAAAAATGCAAGCTAAATTGGCGTAATTTCGAGTTACCCTTTTTTAATAGCTTTAAAGTGTTGTAATTCTGTGGTTTCTGCAGTAGAAATATTAAAGTCAATTTTCTAAAGAAACCACAATTGAAAACTTGTACAGGGTGTCCCAATGAACAAGGGAATTAAGAGACGACCTAAATATCGTCTTTGATTTCCGATAATTTATAAATGACATGAAGTGCATTGAAAAAAGAGTTTTTCGAAATTGTAATTAATCAATTGTATTGTATTGTATATTTTGTAGAGGGTATTGTACTTTAAAATGTGAAATTGGTAATAAAAAGATAATTAACTGCATAAACCTGTACTTGAACTTAGCTTAGTTCGTTTATAGGAATATTTATATAAAAAAACTTATGTGTGATACACATGAATAACATTTTGATTCAGATAAAAGATCTTATCTCTAAATATCCTGTTTTTTAGATTTTAGATTTGTTCCAGAGAAACTGTTCAATAAAACTTAAATACTTCCAATTCATAGCAAATTATAATATCGAGAACAGTAAGGATGTCTTAATGCTATGACTATGAGTATATTTTGAGAGTTGTTTCAAGAATAAAATTTCTTGGATAGTTTCAAGACTGAACAATTACCGCCAAAGAAGACGACATTTTCTTCTCATTAAAATGTATCTAAAGGAATCATCTATCTATGAGTTGGAATACAAATGTGCCTGTAATTAAAAAAGTCTAATTCAGTGTTAGCTCTGAATTATTCAAAATATTCCGAAATTGATAAAACATAGGCTTTTTTGTTTTAAAAATAAAAAAAATATGTGATACATATGATAAACATTTTTATTTAGATGAATAATTTTTTCTCTAAAAATCTTGTTTTCTTCTATAGTGACCATTTGAAAGAAAATCCGAAAAAAAGTTCTGAAAGCTCTAATACATAAAAGAGAAGATTTTAGATTTGTTCCAGGGAAGTTGTTAAGTTAAACTATAGATGCTTTCCATAATATGGTGTACCATGACAACATTTTTATCACAAAGTTAAACGATTACATAGATGATTTCCATAATAGGGTGTACCATGAATTGCAATCGTGCAATCTTTTTTCAAATTTGTTCCTTGTTTTTACGAACGATCGTTGACGAGATCGTGTCCGGTTATGACATTGATTACTGACGAGTTCATGCCCAGTGCTTTGGCATTGATAGTTTACTAGTTTGTGTCCGGGCCGTGTTGACATTGATAGCTGACGAGTTGTACTTGGATTGATACGGGTCTGAGACCAGTTTTAGGAGTATTTACTACAATATCTCAACTGAAATGTTTAGTAGGATACCCGGTATAAATAAGAAAGATATAAGTTTATATCTCTCAATTGCACACTTTTATACTTCTTATTATTATGCATATACATACATTAAACATATACAAAAATACTTAAAAATATTTGCTTTACTCATTTATTATTTATAATTCGTAGATTGACGATATTCTTTATCTTTAAAATAAGGGGGGGGGAGAATACAGGATACTATACTTTCACCCTTTAACACCTTTTATTCCTCTATTCAGTGTATTTTTTGATGTTGTTGAGATAAAAACAAACTCTTGTTAATAATACATGGAAAACTTTTGCAAATACTTGCTATTTATATTATGATGTCCAAGGTTTGTCTTGAAAAAAAAAACACAACTATATTGTTGCAATAATGAAAATGAAAATTAATGAATGAACAAATGAGTGTCATACAGTGAGAGCCAAACAATGTGGAATAAGAAGACGATATAAAAGCAATCCAGAAATGTATTTAATGTTGTTATAAAGTAAATAATTTTCTCAGTAGCTTATTAAATCACTTATTAAGTGAAAATATATCTGTTTACTCGGAACAACTGCTTTGTCTCATGTTCTTTGAACTATTTAAAGTCCAAGTTTGAGCCTAAAAGTCGTCTTCCTGTTTCAGAGTTTTCTGGTTCTCACTGTAATCTTATCCCGAGCTGAAAAACACCCCCCCTGAGATTTTGAGGCAAAAAAAGGTCCCAATTAAATTTGATTAATCGTTTGTACCCTTTTTTCAAGTGATATGAAGGAATTATGATATTAAATACAAACTCAAAGAACCTGGTTTATCACATCATAAATACGTACTTAAAATAAGGAACAAAAACAGGTAAGTAAAGTAAATTAGGATTTTAGGAACAAGGTCAAAAAAGAAAGAACTAGGAAAATTATAGGTTTAAAAAAAGAAACAATACAATAAGACAAATGTTGGGTGAGTTAGGAACAAAAAAGGAAGAACTTGATTAGGATCATCAAAAGAGGAACAAAAAAATGGGAACTACAACATTGACTTTTGAGCCAGCTAGGAACAAGCAAAAAGATTGTTAAGAAATTAGGAACAAAAATAAAGGATTTTTGGTCTAGGGACACAGTGTTAGGAATATGAGAGAAAACATGTAGGAACATTATGCAAGTTAAAATTTAGGAACAAAAATCTGGTATTGATCCAGACTTTGCCCGAGGTTTGAAATGTAATTTGACATTTTGATTGACACGTCCGTCTTCCTTGATTGCTTCTATAGAACTAATTGTGTCGTGGATTTTAAAATATTTTGCGGATTTTTTCCTTCAGTTTAGAGCATTTTCCTCATCAGCTTAAATCAAGAACTAGAAAGAAAAGACAAAATGTGGAAAACTAATTCAGATTTAATTACAATCAAAACGTTAATAATGCAGAAAAAGTGAAAGTCTTTAATCATGTAAAATGTATTTTTTTTCACAAGTCATGAAACATTTATGAAGGGTCCGTTAGAATTATGCTTACAGTCCCTGTAAAGATTTGAATACTTGAGCATTCGCAAAAATATGAAATGATTAAAAGAAATAACTCTTTTTCGTTTATTAACAAAGGCCAAGAGTTCTAACATTCTTTTTTAGATCCTTGATCAAACAAAGGTTGTATGGGTACCGTTGTGATTCAACCATGTTACCTAAATTTACCTATACAGTTCCTTAATCATATCTTTCTTTTAGAACAAGGCCTAACCATGGGAGCAGGAAGTAGCAGCGGAGGGAAGAAGGGAGAACTGCTGGAAACTATGGCAGATCATGATGAGAGTATAAACTGCATGGTTCTTAGTGAGGACGGTAGCATGCTGGTCACAGGGAGCGAGGACAGTACAGCCAGGTATAGAAATAGTACAGCCAGGTAAAGATATAGTACAGCCAGGTATAGATATAGTGCAACCAATTATACATATAGTACAGTCAGATATAGATAGATGACTAATATATCTACTTTATAGGATAGAGTCTACTAATATTTCTACTGTTTAGGATGTGGTCTACTAATATATCTACTGTATAGGATATAGTCTACTAATATTTCTACTGTTTAGGATGTGGTCTACTAATGTATCTACTATATAGGATAGGGTCTACTAATATTTCTACTATATAGGATGTGGTCTACTAATATATCTACTGTATAGGATATAGTCTACTAATATATCTACTGTATAGGATGTGGTCTACTAAAACTGAGGATACAGAATGTCTGGGGGTTTTACGCGGACATTCCAGGTTTCTTTAATTTTCATTTCTTAAAAAATTTTGAAAATTATTCTTAGTTTTTTCTTACATTAAAAATAATATCTTTTCAGTTATATCAACGCTGTTGGGACATTTGACACATTTGTTATCACCGGAAGTGCAGATTCGACAATCCGGAAATGGGATATGACCACGTGCGAGTGTCTTTTTGTGTACGAGGGACATACGTCTAGGATTCAAAAGTAAACACTTTAACATTCAAATTCAAAATAAGTTTTAATTTAAATTTTTGAAAATTAATAATCTGAGATTATTATAATTATCAATCATCAATGTTTTGTTTAATCAACGTGCTACTTAATTTTCTTTCAATTTAGGTTTTTTCATTCATTCCTTCAATACTTTTCCTCCTAAAACTGTATTTGAGTATTTTATTACTTTAACCAATTATTTCATCAAGTTTTTCTAATTCTTTAATTGATTAATGTTGTATCTGCAGGATACTTCTAACTGGAGATTTTATTTTCTCCTCCTCCTTTGATAAAACAGCAAGAGCCTGGCTCTTCGATACTTCAGAGATACAGGACGGAGAAGAGGATTTGTTTGAAATATATGCAATATATGTACTGAAAAAAAAATTGAGTTTTTGTTACAAATCTTTTATTTTTTGATTAGAAAATTTGAGTTTGAGTTTGAGAAAGAAGTTCCTTTAACATAAATATAATTATAACTTTATCTGCTTTATTTGAAAATAATATATCTAAAAATGTCCAGGGCCACGGCAAGGGAGTTTATCCTTTGATCTATATCCCTGTAGGGGATCAAGATTCAGGTAGTATAGTCATCCAAACAATATTAGTTTTTCTTTTTACATAACAAAATATTTCCATTTCTCTACGACATTTTCCATAGGGTGTCCCAATAAACGTAAAAACTTGAAAATCGTTTTTTATCTCCGATAGTTGTAAAAAATATAATTTAAAGTAGACGAGAATTAATATTTCTTATGAGCATTTTAAAATTTGCTTTGTATCATTTAAACCTTTGAAGATATTATGTATTTGAACAACTTCCAGTTTTATTACAGTTTTACCCAGAACTTACCCAGATACATCGAAAGAATTTATAAAATGTCGTCTTCTAAACCTTCTGATAATGGAATTCTGCAGACATTTAGTTTGTTAATCGAATAAATATTTATGGCTATTTATTTAGTTTTACAATTACTTAGATTTAGGTACAATATTATAAAACCCATTAAGAAATTATCTAGACGACATTCTCCAAATTCTTTCAAGGACTCCTAAGTTCTGGGTTGAACTGTGGATCAATAGATTTTTCCAGATACAATTTAAATCTGAACAAATCCATTAATAAGTGATAATAATGTTAGACCACGTTTTGGAAATCTAAAGACTAGGGGGTTTCAAGGATAATGGGCTTATCCAGACACTCTAGTATGCCGAGTCCATTAGCGCCTGATTCAATCAGGGTTCAGCCATGTGTTTAGTGTCTATTCTGAACCAATAGAAATTGCATGGTGGTGACATCTATCTTTCTATCTAGCTCATTATCCAATTAGAGATAAGTCCTTATATCGGCGCTATCAGTAAATGGAAATATTTACTTCTACTAAAGCTATAGTGCAGAATACTTTTAAAATTATTAGGACACACCGTACATTAGCACACTGCAGCTGGAACTAAATAAGCAGCTTACAAACTACAGTTTTAAAAAGTAAGAAATGAGGACTTTGGACATTAATTCCAACTTTGAACTTTGTTTGATCCACATGGAATTTTTTGTCCACATAATTCTTATGTCCTTGAAACCACATAGTCTTGAGATTTCCAAAACGTGGTCTAACATTTTTATTAATTTTTCATATGTTGACGAGGATATCAATAGATTTGTCCAGATTTAAAATAGTAAAGCAATTATCTACAGCACTTTTCTTTAAAAACTCCCGCACAATTTTATAAAATCTGTAAAAATACAGTAAGAACCGGAAAACTGTTTTTTTTTAAATTTAGAAATGTCTCTAAAGAAACTTGTAATTTGCAATTGTTGCAATTGTATTGTGTTTCGTAAAATGTTCAGGTCAATACAAAAGTTTACTTGAAAATTATAAATCAATATACAGTTATATTTTCCAGGTCCAATCATAAACCCTGGTTAAAGTTATATTTTCCAGGTCCAACTATAATCCCTGGTTCAGTTATATTTTCCAGATCCAACCATAATCCCTGATGACAGTTATATTTTCCAGGTCCAATCATAAACTCTGGTTAAAGTTATATTTTCCAGGTCTAACCATAATCCCTGGTTACAGTTATATTTTCCAGGTCCAATCATAAACCCTGGTTACAGTTATATTTTCCAGGTCCAATTATAAACCCTAGTTATATTTTCCAGGTCCTATCATAAACCCTGGTTACAGTTATATTTTCCAGGTCCTATCATAAACCCTGGTTACAGTTATATTTTCCAGGTCCAATTATAAACCCTGGTTACAGTTATATTTTCCAGGTCCTATCATAAACCCTGGTTACAGTTATATTTTCCAGGTCTACCATAAACCCTGATTACAGTTATATTTTCCAGGACCAATCATAAACCCTGGTTACAGTTATATTTTCCAGGTCCAATCATAAACCCTGGTTACAGTTATATTTTCCAGGTCCACCATAATCCCTGATTACAGTTATATTTTCCAGGTCCAACCATAATCCCTGGTTACAGTTATATTTTCCAGGTCCTATCATAAACCCTGGTTAAAGTTTTATTTCTCCAGGTCCTACAATAAACCCAGGAGATATTCTTCTGACCGGGAGTGCTGATATGACAGCCAGGAGCTGGTCAATCGAGGGATACATTACAACAATCATTTTTTTCAAATTTGAAAAAGTCCTAAATTGTATATTTCTAATGTTTGACCAATTTACTAAATTAAAAAAAAATTGCGAGTCAAACGCCTTTTACAAGTCAAAATTTAATTTTCCAAAAGAAACTGTTTAGATATTTGATCAAAGTAAAGTTAGACAAAAGAATCGAGTCTTTGACATACACTCTGATATTCTTATCCCTATATCTTTGCAACCCAATATTCTTGACCTCAAATATTTCAAACTATGAATTAATTCTGTTAAATCAGATAATCTAAGTTTGAAATACTAAAGGTGTAAATAATTTTAGTTTGTGGCTAAGACTGAATTCCTTTATTATTATATACTAGCTTGGGAACCCAGCGTTGCCCAGGGTTCTCATAGTTACTCCCGCAGTTTACCCGCACTTGGGCGATTGCACCGGGAAACTAAATTTTTGCTATAAAAGTCGAACCAACTCAACCTAGAATCTCAAAATCAAATAAAAATCAATCATTAGATTCTTTACACAAAATTATAAAAACTTTTATTTATGTAAAAATCCTTGAAAACTACAACGTATGTACAATGTGTACTGTACTGTAGTCTGGAGGAACCCTGAAACAGTTCCGTGGACACAATGGTGCTGTTACAGCAATGGCGACTGATTCGACTGGCAGGTTAGATTTTATTACAGAACAAACTAATTAAGGATGTTTTACCAGAGCTAGGAACTTTTGCGTTGGATACCCTTAATCCCAAAGGTTTGATCTCAATATTCACATTGGGAACTTTTGAATTTTACGCAGAATT